CAAACACTCGCTTGACTATTGATGCTGAAAAATCAAATTTGTGAATGTTGTTGTAACTCGCTAGATTTACTTCCACAGTAGGTAAATATTGAGATAAAATGCCGCTAAATATGTCGCTGCTAATACAAAAGTGAATAAAAAAGCGCTATATTTACGGACGCAAACCCGAGGGAAATGTGAAGGATAAAAACAGATTTGAAAGATTTTTTTTTTAAAGGGGGTTTGTTAACACATGTACTTACCTCTTAAATCATAAAATAAATACAAAATTCTGGGGTCCGCTAGAGTGAAGTGCCCTGGGAATTAAACCGATTTGTCCACCCATAAGGCCGCCACTCTATCCTGTATGTAATATCACTTTTTTATCACTTTTGGGGGGATAAATGTTTGTAAAAAGACAAATATCATCATTGACGTTTATTTTCCGGAGAATCGTGATGTTATACATATTAAAAAAAAAAAAACATAATTGACCATTTTGATGAACTGGTGTGAAACCGAATACAACAGATCGGATCCTTCTACATTACTTCATTCCAGAACTACAGTAACTTTGACCTCCCCCCCCCTAAAAAAAAATCTCTGTGCTTATTGGGTACTGAACATAATCCACCGAGGACATTTAGTGCACACATGACAGAGATCTAATTCATTATATTATTGTCGGTGGTGCGTAAACAGGCAGACAGACAGACAGACAGGGTACAGACGAGGTAATAATCCCCAGCATAGTATAGTTATCTTGCCCCTCTCACCTGTCTGCTCTGTACCTCCACCGGCATTATTGTTTTGTCCTGTATGTGTGTGTCAGACGTACGTGTGTGTGTGTGTGTGTGTGTATGTGTGTGTCAGACGTACGTGTGTGTGTGTGTGTGATGATAGTATGCCATTTATAATTAATAACAGTCAGAGACCAGCACCAGGCAAGAAAATACACAACAACACAACACCAAGTTATGAATATTCATTTTAGAATCATTTCGCTGTTTACCTGGCCGACAGGAGCGCTAGATGCTAATGCGATAATTGGCTCATGAACCAGACTTCAATATAGTCGAGTAAAAAAGTATTATTACTCCACTTGATATCTCTTGTTGCCGACATGATTGACCCATGTTGTCAATGATCCGGTGTAATGAGCACTACAGCGGCTCTGTAACACACTATCACATGTAGCACACAGAGATCAATAGACTATATAATGTATGTATACTGTATATACATCCCCACACACTGATCACTAATTCACACTAATATGCCTACAATGACACGAGCTATATATAAATGTTTACTATCGATATATTCACGGGTTGTATTGTACAGTAACCATACACATTACAACAGTTAAGTCGCTACATCTTGCACTGTGCACCGCCAACACAACACACACACACACACACACACACACACACACACACACACCCATCCTCTAGGCAGGTTATGAAGAATTCAGGTGCAGCTGTTAAAAGTTTAGCAACCTGAGCCCCAAAGATGTCTACTTGGCTAAGATTATCAATTTGAAGAGAAAATAAGGAAGATTACAGTAGTGAAGAAATGTGCGTGAACAAGACCTTAGACTGTTATTGATGTCTTGTCCACAGTTCAGTTCCTTATTGGTTTTAGTAATATATCGTATCCTAATCTGAAACTCCTTTATTCATTTGTATTCTGCTCTTGTGTATTAAGCCTACAAATACTTAACTCCATGTTTTTCTGTGAGTAGTTGGGAGTTTCTGTGTTTTTTTTGTTTTTTTTTATCGCTCTGTTTCGCATCTACAAGTTTACACTGGTGGTAGACGTTATTGGAATATTGTTTTTTCTGGCTAAATTATCTTATTCGTGTCTGAGATTTAGACATTTTCGGTCAGGGATTTAGGACCATAAAGGAACCCCAGTAGATTGAACCAACCCCAGTAGGCTAAACCAACCCCAGTAGACTAAACCAACCCCAGTAGGCTAAACCAGTACTCTGTGGGTCACTAAATTTTTCATCGAATTTACACCAATCTCAGAAATAGCCTCAGCCGACCTAAAAGCCGGAATTCCGTACCATTCCCGAAAAATCGCCAGCCTGTTAATTTTCCAACGGCAGTGGAACTTAGTCTGAGTCTTGATTTCATTTGATCTTATCGATTTTTATGAGCTAATGTGAACTCTTCTGTTTATCTTTATTTTTATTACCTACTCTTGTTTTAAATTAGTAACTGTTTTTATAAAACAGGTGTGAATCTGTCAACCTTTAATTTGGTCAGTTATCGTTATAATCCTACTATTTGCTGCCTTTATTCAACTGTTTTATCCATGTTTGTTATGTTCTTAGATTTGTGTGTGTGTGTGTGTGTGTGTGTGTGTGTGTGTGGGTCTGGGATGGGGTGTGGTGTTTGTTTGTTTGTAAGTATATATAATTTTCAGTCTCAACCCACAAAGAACAATAAACTACCTGACACAAATAATAACATAAATAAATAACAAGACAATTGGAGAAATAGACCACCTACATTACCAGTCAAACTCAATATAAACCAGAATCAAGAGATAGTGTGATCCCGCCATGTAATATAACACCAGTTATAATTACTATCACAAACTTCGACACAACTTGAGCCAAAACTCCCTCAGAGAAACTCGGACTCCAGTTGAGGTCAGACTCTACCGCTTAACAGCTGGTAACAATTTATTTAAGGTTATCTGTGCTCGAAAAGTGAATACTGTTGTCATCTGTTGGCTGTGTTGTGTGTTTGGGTCACTGTTGGTTATGTGTGATGTAGGGACACTTCTTCTACTCGATTCAGTGGAGAAAAAACGCCATCAAAATAATTAACACGCTTCTTGCACAGTATATTCGCAGTACGTATGGATATTTCATCGCTTTCCTCTCCTAATACATATTATATTTCCGGTTAGTGTTCTGGCGGGCTGTCACTCTCCAGCAGCCCACGAGAGGATCTAGAAAGGCCGTCTGTCTACCAGTTCTCATTAATACCCTGACCATCACTCCCTGTCAAGGATTGTTTCTCGTGTCATGAAACTTCCATCATTTCGAAATATTTGGTTCCAAAAATTTTCAGTATTTAATAAGAGTAATCTAATATACACACTTTGCTTCTTTATTTATTTATTGGGGTTATACCTATTACATGAAGCTCTTTGATCATGTCCAGGCACGTCAATACGTTTAAGAAACTCCAACATGGTGCATTTGCTGATGATGTTCAGCGTCAGAGGGGGTTTCATTAGTATCTCCCCGCGGGTAAATACAGGCTCAACCAAAGCTCTAAGGGCAGGTAAAGTTAGATTGGGTCAGTGGCAGATTAACTTGGGTCACCATAGCTTAGAAAATTTACCACGATTCAGGATTTCCTACTTTTGGTTAACCCTTCCCAGACCCAGGTAATGGATTTGAGGTTCAGGCCCTTACCTCAGGACACCACCTACAGTAGTCTAGTGATAGGTAACCTGTGGTCCCGAGCTGCGTGGTGTACCCCAGCAGGCATCTCAGAGCGACCCATAAGATGGTTTGTCTCACCGTAACCCACACACTTGAAAGAAGCAAACAAGTGCATTGATTCGACCATTTGTTGATTTTTTTTTTAAGTTATTAGGGAGATTTATGTTAATAACATATCCACATACCACTTCACCATCACCACCTCCTTCTCACCACCTCCTCCTCACCACCTCCTCCTCACCACCTCCTCCTCACTACCACCATCCCCCCCTCACCACCTCCTCCCCCACCACCTCCTCCCCCACCACCTCCCTCACCACCAAGACCGAGACCTAGACCTTGAAAGCGATCTTGAGACCAGTATCGAGACCTGCATTATTGCTATTTATATTCGCGTGGATTTATCAGGTAATTTCCCTCACCAATAACACACTATCACTAGCAAGTCTACGGAGTTGGCGCACCCACATTCAACCACAACAATCGTACACTTGTGCTAGATAATTAAATACAAATAACCAGGATGAATAAAAACACCTGTACCTTTATACACTTTCTGATATACAGTACACGGTTCACCTGTACAGTATGATTGACACACCCATAACGCAAATTACTGTGGAGTGTAACATGAACTTCCAATAAAAATGTCCCTTTTGATGACCCAGGGAAAGGGAGAGATGGAAGAGGGGAAGAAAGGATGGAGGGAGGGAAGGAGGGAAGAAAGGATGTAGGAAGGGTAGGAGGGAGAGAGGGAAAGAGAGAAGGAAGGAGAGAAGGAAGGAGAGAAGGAAGGGATGGAAGGAGGGAGGAAGGGAAGGAGAGAGGAAGGGAAGGAGAGAGAAGGAAGGTAAGAAGAGAAGGAAGGAGAGAAGAAGGGAAGGAGGTAGAAAAGGAGAGATAGAAAGGATGGGATTGAAAGAGGGGAGAAGGATAAGGTAGAGAAGGAGGAAGGAAGTGTTTATTGGAACTACTGAGAGAGAGAGAAATTCGTTAGTGATAGGTGATATGACAAGAGAAGGAAGGGTGATAAACAAGAATAAGGAATGAGAAGAAAGAAAGAAGAGGAGAGGAAATAAGTGATATAGATATACACACAAAAAGAGATAGACAGAAACAGAGATAATATAGGTGAAAGGGACAGAGGGAAAGATTGGTAATTTTTTTCACTAAGGAAGGAAGAGGAGGGAGGAAATACAATATGACAAGGAGAAGGAAAGTCAATGCCAAAGATGGAAAAAAACAATAGGGACGGAATGAAGAGGGAAACACGACACGGAAGAAGAAGAAGAAAGAGACAGAATATAGGAAGAGAGTGAAATAGATAACACGATTTTAGAATACAATAACGAAGACCTTCAAAATGTAATGGCCAAGTGGGAGGCATTGATCTTGAGCCGCACAGTCCAAGATGTTACCATAATGCTTGATAACTAGGTGGGAAAAACAGATGACGTCTGCTAGAGGTTTAGGTATACTGATTTACAACGCTACTGCAGGCCACTTAGGTGAGACCAATAACAATGATTTTTTTAGACTAGGCGAAACCGAATTAAAAATTAACTGTTGAGGGTCTTGATGCTGTACCGCTGTGAGACCGAACTGAGCTGTTGAGGGAGGGTCTTGATGCTGTACCGCTGTGAGACCGAACTGAGCTGTTGAGGGAGGGTGTTGATGCTGTACCGCTGTGAGACCGAACTGAGCTGTTGAGGGAGGGTCTTGATGCTGTACTGCTGTGAGACCGAACTGAGCTGTTGAGGGAGGGTCTTGATGCTGTACTGCTGTGAGACCGAACTGAGCTGTTGAGGGAGGGTCTTGATGCTGTACCGCTGTGAGACCGAACTGAGCTGTTGAGGGAGGGTCTTGATGCTGTACTGCTGTGAGACCGAACTGAGCTGTTGAGGGAGGGTCTTGATGCTGTACCGCTGTGAGACCGAACTGAACAGACATAATAGAGGAAGTTTTCGTAACACAACCTGGAAAATTCTTAGTCCATATAAAAATGTTTTAACTTGGTGATAAAATGCGTTGCTGTTCATCTCAGTCTCTCCCTTATGGTACACTTAAGAAAGCTTTGAAGGCGGTAAAAGTGTATCCAATATTTCTGTGTCTTTTTAAGGAAGCTTTACTTTAGTCCATTAGCGATAATAGGCGACATTGTTTTTTGTAGCTTGGATGAATGTCCTCCAGGTACCCAACATAGATCAGGGTCGTGAGGAGGAGTGCAGAAAATGGGGAACGGTGCTGGTAATAAATGAGGCAGTGTTTGTCTCTAGTAGTGTAATAGATCAGTGGCCATCATACTTAAGACTCTCTCTCTCTCTCTCTCTCTCTCTCTCTCTCTCTCTCTCTCTCGAAGTTTTGCGTGGTACAGGAAGATGTCTCCCTAAGGATCTACAGTAAATCATTGTAGGGTGTAGTCGTGGTAATACACTAAAGAGAGAGCACATCATCAGATAAATATACCTGTATATTGTACTTATTCCTTTTGTCTGTTAGTCGTCCTGGAAGGTTCACCGTGTGACTGGGTGAGATTATATCATTTTTTTTTAAGGAATACTCTGTTTATGCTGCTTTTCTCCTCCGCTGTGCGTAATGTGTGTCGTATTCACCGTAATGCTGAACAATGTATACGTGTAAGATAAGGAAATATGTTAATAGTTGAGGTAATTATCGTAGATTCTTTTGCGACTGTCAATAGAGATAATGAGAGAAGGAAGTGTATACACATTACACAACTAGGGCAAGAAAACGTTGATTAGATTATGTCAGGTGGAAGAAGAAGGCGAGTCTTAAGGCACCTACGGCAATTAACATCCTAAGAATCTTCACTCTAGACCAAACTTAAAGGTGCACTGCAGGCACTACGACTGGACGCCTTCCTTTTATCCCCCCTCACTAAAATTTGTATCTTTACGACATCTTATTATTGAATCTCTGACTCCACATACGATGATGATCTTCAGTTTATACCTCCAGTTTAAGCTCTCAATAAATCATTTTGTTAACTCGTGATAAAACAAGAAATGTATCCATTCTTTGAACTGATTATAGAGGAGAACAAATAATTGGCCTTATTATTATGGTCATCAGATCTGACTTTTCTAAGCAATGGTACAACAACGACTCGGGTGTTTATTCACGTCTCTCTAGATATTGTCAATGTCATCACTTTAACTCTGGCGCTCTCTTGGGATATTACCGTTCCCTGTTTTGTATCTTTTATTCCTGCAGCTTAGTTTCAATTTCATCTCCTTCTTTAAACTCTATTTGAAGAAAGTGAACCGTCGGGTCTTCCTCCAGAACCTCGTCTTTGTAAATATGAGGAAGAATGGGACACATAATCAAAATACAATGTTCCTTTTTAAAGCCGCCGAGGCTATAGACTATGCCCATAGTTTTCACTAACTTTAAGTTGTATCATGGACACCAGGTATAATTGCAAACTTGTAAAGGATCTGACAGGAAGAATATTCTATACTTAAATAAAGGGCGTCTCTGTCCGTGTGTCTGTCTGTCTGTCTGTCTGTCTGTCTGTCTGTCTGTCTGTCTGTCTCTCTCTTTGTTCTAGCCGTAGTTCCAAAACGGAAACTGTTTGTGACCTGAAACATTACATATAAATATTACATGTGTGTGTGTGTGTGTGTGTGTGTGTGTCACGATAAGTAGGGATAATAGTCGATTAAGCTTTCAATACCAACTGACGTTTTTTGCTAAATGGGGATTACTTTTTTGTTTATGTTTCAACTTATTGGAAATTTAATCATATACGGTAAAATTTTCTGTTTCATTTAAGACGTCCTTGGCCATCATAATATCACCAAATTATACCTAAAGTAGGTTAAGTTAGGTTCTATATGAAGCTATTTATTTAGTGTATTTTAATTGTCTATATGATCGTCTCTATGGCCAGTCAGACGTTTCCACCCCCCCCCCAAAAAAGTACTATACACCATAAAACAAAAAACTGACAACAAAATATGAAAAGAAGAAAAAACTAACAAAAGTTTTAATTCCAAGCTACGAAAGTCCAATTTAAGCTCATTTTGTAAATCTACAGACAAGAAAGAGGTAATATGTTTCTGTACATACTTATAGGTAGCAT